ATTATTTTTACTGTAGGTAGAATAAAAGGTGTAGTTTCAAAATTTATATGTCGTATCTTTTGACAATTCGTTTTCATAGCTGCCAATTCGTTTAAAGTCAGATGATATATGTGGTGTAATATGTGATGATATATTTAGCGATTGACCAATCAGAATTAAAGCCCGCTATGTTCTGCTACGTTCTATAATTGTCTTGCTCACGTGACTTCGTGGACGATTGTTTTTCCGGTTGATTCTCGACGTGCTGAGGACTGCTGTGGTCCCAATGTACCGAGGATAGTTGTGGTTGTTTGTTCCGGCTTGAGATCCAAGAGGAAGGACCAAGCCGTGGTTTATTGAATTGATATAAGTGTTAGTGTGTTATTGAGTTCCTGATACGTCAGAGAAGTTATACCTACGACCAGAATATCCCAACTCGCCAAATATAAACGCCTCTATTCGACTAAACCGATCGTAGGTTACACGACGTCCCGATTGTGGAGCGACTGGCTCGCCGAAGTCCGTTGTCACTATATACCGATCATGTTGAAATCACAAACTTAACCGAATCGGCCGAAAAATCCGACTAGTTATTATCAGAAATTATGATAATAGCTGTAACTCCGGATCTAATGATTAAATCCGGATCCAAGTATTAACTTTACTTGTGATCGTATAGTATATTTGTCTGTGTGAGACCGAAAACGTGACCTGGTGTCAGGCACGTGTTATGTAACCTCGGGACCAAAGTGCCCATAATTATACGCCGATAATTGTAAAATTATGTGTGCGACAAATTGTTAATTATGCGGATTATGCGAATTTTGAGTTAGGCCGTTCGAAGTTAATTTTTCGGTTAACATCACCTTTAGAACTCTTGGGAGAGAAGGGGGGGAGGGGAGTAAAATGAAATGAACATAATAAAAATGGGCCAACTTCATTGGTCGACGTAAATCAAGTAATTGGCGAGAGTTATCCAGCGTTTTATTGGTTGTTCGTTTATTCAGCGGAGGGAGGGGGGATGATGTTAACCGAAGAATCAACTTCGAACGGCCTTATTAGCCAATAAAAATTCAAAAAGCACACCCTATAAAAAATTTTGTCCAAATTTTGTCGACAATGTTCTAGAAATTTTCTAAAGTTATTCTGTTTTTGTTCAAAAAAAATATATATATTCGGAATGGAGTCGATTTTCTAAACATACTATATACGATATCTAAGGCCATACAAAATTAATTAATTGGTTTTCATAACCCGGCCGGGTCAAAATTTGAAAACTTCTAAAAAAAAATTTTTTATATGTTTAATAACCGGGTGGGTTTTAAAAAAAATTTTTATATAAATTTTATAAAATTTTATATATTAAGTTTAAAAAAAAAAGCCGGCCGGCCGGGTCTATTTTTAAAATTTCATGTTATGAAAACCAAGTAATTAAATTTGTATGGCCTAATGTTGTCAACTCAAAAATTTCTTTTTTTACATCACAGTATAAAAATTGTACAATATTGTATTTGCATTCGGAAAATTGACTCCATTTCAACCACTTTTTCGGACAATACCTACAATAACTAAGCAAATTTTTTACAGGGACAACAAGTCAGGTGATTACAATCACATATACAACGCTATTTATTTATTTAACCAATAAATTTTTGTTCAAATGTGCATGAAAGTGAGCTAATCATGCGAATTCATATAGTAAAAATTGCAAATTATGCGCATAATATATCGCATCATAATCCTGGACGTCCTACTCGGGACTAAAAAAAAAAAAAACTCAAGTTATAATTTCAAACAACCAACGGGACGATCGTATTGTTACATGAGCTGTTCGAATTATCTATTCTTACACTTTCGTTATTATACATTTCGTTATCAATTTGCATCCATTTTCTAAGTACAAGTGTTCTCTGTAAAATATGCGACAATAATACCAATGAAAAATGGTTTTATTATAGATTTATATAGCTGTATCCGTTTTTTTTTCTTGTCGGGATTTTGCCATATTAATTAAATGATAATGACTAAAACAATGTACAGTACAATCGGAAAATCTAGATTCCCTCGAAAAAAAATATATAATTACACAAGATCAAGATAAACAGGTAAAAAAAAAACGGTTAAGCAGTTTTTTCAGCAGCTGATATTGAGGTTTGGCTGAAACTAAATATAACCTTTGATTAATTTTAATTTCAGCTAATTCGATTAATTTATAGAGAAATTTTAATCTTCATTTTTGGCATGGATTTGAATTAGAGATAGAAGAAGGTTTTGAAAGGTATTAAATATTTTTATTTAGAAAACTATTTAATTAGTTTTTGAGATTGCACCATAGTGTTGAACATCACTAACGTGATTTAGTAAACAAAAAATTTCAAAATTTTATTTATATAGATATATATAATAATTCTCTAAATATAAATTTTAAGGATACATTGGAAAACTAGAACACTAAAAGGCGGCTAAACAATTATATTGTAAGTTGTTCTCGATATACATATGATCTAATTAAATATAAGGACTGCCATTTTTTCATGCTTTGATAAGGTATAGTTAAAGTAACAAGATCTAAATTTAGTCATTAATATTATCTACCTTCGATAATTTATATTTATAAGTAAATTTGTATACTTTAATAAGAATATAAATTGCTAAAGAAATGCAACTCATAATTAAATCAAATAAGGGAACAAATTGATAGGTAATTATATTCAAATAGTAAATCACCTTATAAAAAAAAGGAATTAATATAAATATTGAACTTAAATCAAAATTTCAAAATAAAATCCTTTAACATACTTGTATGATTAACCATGGTATTCCATCAATAAAAATAGTTGCAAATTTTCCCCAAAATATATAATCTCTTGATTTTTGTGAAAATGGTGCATTAAACAATTCAAAACCTGCAAAATGAGAATTTAGCAATAGCAAAATTTCAACATCAGCACCAGCTAACAAAGTAAATAAAGCTGCATAAGTAAAATTATCAGCGAGCCATTCTTTGAAATAATAATTTGAAATTTCGTTGGTGAATATTATAAATGCAAGTATTGCATCTAACCCGATATTTAAGGACAATATAAAAGCACTATATATAATCAGAATTAATAAATAAATAGTAAAAAATAAAATAATATAATTAATAAATATATACCTTGGAATATAAAGAAATGGAACATCTTTTCCATTTTTTATAATAAATGAAATGTTTAGAACAAAATGAGCTAAGCTTAAAATAGTAGTGAAGAAGATTATGTTGTTGCACTAAAATAAATATAAATGATATATTGAATATTAAATAGTTAAATTATTGATATACTGATTCATTTAAAATAATACCTGTTTTTCAGAAAAATTCTTATCATAATATTCTTGATTTTTTGAACATAATGAGTCAGTACATTTTGATCCGTGTAAGCAGTTTGAATATTTTTTTAAATAAAAGCATTCTTTTGTATTCATTTTTTTATTGTGCCTATAAACTGCCAGAAAGTATAATGGAACTGAAACAGCTAATGCAATTCCAAAGCCTAATAAATAAAACTTTGTTTCTTCCCACACGCTTACTATAAAATTAATAAAATATAGAAATCAATATAAATATATCACTAATCAAATAAAGAATCAGGAAAATCAGAAAATAGCACTTCAAATTTTTTTATGCAGACGATCTGAATAGCAGATAGATGATGGTGAAAAGAATATATTTAATCAAAACATTATACTTACATACTGGCTCAAATGGAAAAGTTTCATCAATATAACCAGCATTAGGCAAAATTGCAAGCATAGTGTTGTATTTATTTTTAATTAGTGTATTCAGATCTTTCATTATTTGAACTGCATTTGGCTGGAAAGAATTTCTAGTTTCAATGATTTTCATTTCCAGCAATACTTGATGCTTTGGAGTAGTTAAATCAAAGTTAAAGCGTCCAGAAAAAGTTAGCCTTGAAGGATCAGTCGGAATACTTTGAATAAGTTCTTTGTTTAATCTTTCAATGAATAATAATTGTTTATCATATGATAAATCATTAAAGTGCTTAGTTCCATCTTCAGAAAGACGTAATGTTCCCGTAATGTGATCTAATCGATTTAAAGAATTTTATGCAAATATTGAATATTATTGGTTAATACTATTATTAATTAAAATTACACAGACCTGCATATTCATTTGGCTGAGTGTCTATGTTAGTCATAGATAATTAAAAGAAAATGAATAAAATATTTTCAACCAAAAAAAAAAGAAAGAATAAAAAGTTTTACTGACAAGATCCAGTTGTCATAATCCATGTAAGGCCATTTATTGGTTCTTTAGAATCTTTACGTTTAACAAACCCATGATCTAAAGTAATTATATAGCTGGAGTTGGGAGCATTGAAAGTACTTGGCAAAATATGACAGCTCATTGTGACGTTATCAGTATTTTTAATTCGATAGGTAGTATTAATGAAACATCCTAATTCCGATGAATAGGTTTGTCTTAATTGCCTCTGATTGATATCATTATTGTAATATTGATAGATAGAAATATTGCCCTTTGAACGCGTGATATTATTTGTATAAGTAATATTAAAATTATCTTCAAAACGAAGACTTATTGTTCTGTTTATACTAGGAGATATTGCTTTGATCATTCCATTTTGATATTTATCTTTTTAAAATAATAATCACGAATTAGAATAATTTTTTTAAATATGAATTTTTATACGTCATCTATAGAAAGTCTACAGTCTAAATGACGGTGCGCTATCAAAAAAATTGCAGTCAAGTGATAATCAAATGGGGTCTTTGCCTTGAAAATGACCTCACGGTATCATGTACCGTAAGGTCATTTTCAAGGCAAAGACACCTAATAATTATAATTCCCCAATGCTCATGTGTTAAGAGGTTAGAGACTTATATATGAAATCTCAAGAAAAAAAAAATTTCGTTACATGAAGTGACTGCAACTTTTTTTGCGATGCTCAGACCGCAAATATATAGGCGATGCTTATTTTAACTAAATAAGGCTAGCTCTAATGAATAATACGGCTTGCACTGTCTTTAATCATTGACCGTAGAATTTCTATGCTCTTACAGTGTATATAAATCACATATTTTTAGAGTTAGTGTTAGATTGGTTATATTTTTACCGGGCAATATTCAAAATTCCGGACCGGAACCTATCAATGCTTTACCAACATTACAGCTGTTTTCATTATTTTTTGGGACATTTGAAAAATTGTTGATGACCGAATCGATAAGTTTTTGATGCCGGCCGACGTCAGTAACTTATTGATTCTAACTCGGTAACTTATCGATTCGGTCGTCAAAAATTTTTCAGATGTCCCAAAAATAATGAAAACAGCTGTAAATATCAGCTAGGCAATTTTATTGGTGAATTTGTTAATGCTGGCCCGGCGAACCACGATTTTGACGAATTCCGACCAGAGATTTTATGAAATTGGTAATGTCAGTTACATGAGCGCTATCCATGAGTATGTCAATATATAATGACATCACCTACACTAACACAAACTCTAATTCGGTCATGTTTCCATAAGTACTGTACATAAACTTCGCTTTTTTATGTTACACATGAACCATAGAGTGAAGTTTGAGCCATTATTGTATCAATTAATATAAATAAAATATACATACTGCTTTTAAATCTCGAATCCATAGCTGAATAAATTGACCAACTTCCGTTTGAATGTATTGCAGCTAGCCAGTATGTACCATTTTGAAAGACTCCAACTGGAATACGGTTATAGCGATAAGGGTTGAATAACGTTAAACCATTTGGCATGCTCCAATTTTGTGGGTTTTTAAAAGGGTTATTAAAATCATCTTTACTTATATAACCAGTAATTCCAATAGTCATTGTTTCATTAGTCTTTGTTTCGTTAATAACATAGCATTTAACGATAAGACAACCGCCATAATTAATAGGGAAGTATTTATAAAAGATTATACGATTTGAAGGAGCATCGTTGGTTTTTGCTTCTACTACGTTTGTCAATATTCCAGTTGACTTAAGTGATATTTTCTTCAAATTTACAACGGAAGAATTCGTACGATTTTTATCCATTTCAAGAATTATACAGTCAATTCCTTGTGAATCATATCTTGATTGGCATGAATCTAAGCACACTGAACGAGATTTATTTTGTATCGTGTAGATCATAGCTGGTCCGGTTGTTTCACCTTCATTTGTGTTTGAGATAAACACTACATTCACCATATAATAGGGAATAACGTCACTATAAGTATTAAGTTTTTTCCCACTAGCTTCCAAAGTGTACGCTATGCCGTAACTGCCATCTATCTTCGAAAACAACACGAACGGATCGAACGTGAAGGAAAAATCATTATTATGGTTATATGCATGTGCATATTTAAATGAGATCGTTCCTCGTGAAATATTTGAAATAGTGCCTAATCTGCTAATAATAATCCGTTAAAAAATTTAAAAATGATAAGATACTTGATAAAGAAGTTTAAGATTATGACTTACGGAGAGCTCCATGTTTGCCAAATCAATTTTGATTCAGTTATTGCTGCTATCAAAAATCCCGCTTTCGGATTTATATTCGTTACAATACTTACTGCATAGCTGGTGTTGCTTTTAACATTCAACGATGGCATCTTTCTTTAATAGTATGTATACATATTTTATTTATGTGTACTATTTGCCTAAAAAATTAAACAAATATATATACCTACTTGTATAAATTATTACCCAACCAATCAATAACAAGCCATCTTAAGGTCATGTTAACATCTTGATTTAAAAGAAAAATAAAACTCGGCTCCAAAACTTTATATTGAGTAACATTTAGTGGGCTTTGTTGGTATTTGATGTGACGGAGGTTAATTGTATTATTTGTCCCATTGGTAAAAATAATATGTATTTTAGAATAATAATCATAATCAATATTAGGTTCTCCAATTAGTAAAGTACCATCTGCATACGAATAAGCATTAAATATGGTGAAATTATTTGCATCGGTTCGTGACGTTACAATGTTATAATCATCAGATTTTACTGAAAAAATTAAGAAAACGACCAAATAATAAATTGCAATCATATTTGCATGTAAGTCAAATTAGAAGCATTAATCACTCCTTTTATAATTGTCGACTCATCATTAGTTATATATGTATATTTACAGTAATTAGACCACATTAATCTCATTCTACACTAAACCATTTTTCTGCATGTGTATAACATTTAACAACGAAATAAAGGAAAGTGGCAACCATTATTACATACCAAATGTCTTTTTTCTTTTCTTTTCTTTTCTTTTCTTTTTTTTTCTTTTTTTTCTTTTTTTTTTTAGAAAGTTCAAACAAATCCGTTCTGTAACACTGAATGTTTCTTAAAGCGGCAACATCAATTGCTAAAGGGCGTTCTCAAGACCTCAATGAATTCAATAAAAATCTAATTGGCTAGTTTGATCGAACAGATCAATCAAAATCGTCATTGAATCCATTGAGTAGGTGCTTGAGGATGCCCTAAATAAATGTCGAATATTTTACTCTACAAATATAACTTCGAGTGCATAAATTATTCTAAAGAAAAATGCAAATCCAATTTTACAAGGAGGCATGGAAAATTTCTTCAGTTATCTCAAAACTATGATATTGCTAGATTCGATTGCCGTATTTGCAGAATCTTAGCATAATATCTTTCACTGTATACTATAATCGGTTTACTTTAAAACATTGATTTAATTAAACTAAATAGTATAGTCCTCTTAATATATTGCCCATCTTGACTATAGTATCTTCCATATACCTGGATATGATTAAATATTTTATGATATACCGGGGTTTTATTCCGTATTCAAGCTTCCTATAGAGTAGTCGTGTCACAAAATGATCACGAACACCGGGTGCTGGTTGATCTATCGTTCCTATAGATATACTATTTTATCATTATTATATTTATTATTTCTATTATATACGCAATATGTATATAATTGCTAACTTATTATGGATTAATTATAATATAGTGTGTATAGTTGTCCAATAGAGTATACTGTAGAATAAATAGTATAGCCAACAACCCGAATATCTCATCGGGAACTGATAATCTCGAACACTAATTCAATAAAGGAATAAATGTGTCTTCATATTCGAAATAGTTCACATTTACTTAACAGTCCTTCGGGTAATAATCCGTTTGAATTATAACAATAAAGTTGATAACCTTATAATTACATCTCATATGATTTAGCCGTTGCCTCTTTCGCAGCTAAAATCACTTTACAACTAAAAATACATCTTTTTTTTATCCAATTATCCAGAACATGTGGTCGATTGTCCCCGCATCTATTTTTAGATCAGACAACATCAATTTACCCAATATACTTTTTGATAACTATTTTCGTTCTTAATTATACAAATATTTGTTTTACGTATTTTTCTTATTTAGTTATTATATTCTATTTAACGATATTAAACTTCGGAATATTTTTCCTAATTATGTTAATTAATTTCTTCGACAGATTTGGAAATAACTTAACTAATCTTACGCCATCAAAAACTACGTCGATCATTGCTGATGATATCTTTTGATTCACAAATGCGATCTGAATGATGTTCGTACGTACTGTACGTATGTACACGACGTAATTCTAAATTCCGATCAAATCTCATTTTACAAACACAGCTTTTATATTACTTATTATCGTCATAGATTACATAAATGAGAACTGGACTAGGAAATTGTCGATTTGGGAATTCATAAATGAGAACTGGACTAGGAAATTGTCGATTTGGGAATTAAATGATTCTCCGATTGATTACCAAATTACAGCTGTTTTCAAAAAGATGTGGAAAACGATTTCCATATACCCATGTGGGGAATCGAAGAATGTGGAAATTCTGTTTAGTAAAAATTAAAAA